TCAATTGTTTATTTAACTATGAACTTTGGCGTAGTGGTTAACGCATATGCTGAAAACCGCTCATTCTGGGGATTTAGGTTCGAGTCCGACGAGACCTGCGTCAAGTTCCGAAACCTCACACACGCAAATGTTTAAAAACATGTCTTCTTAACAATGACGAAAAATATTAATCCTAATATTTAATTAATATTAATATTAATATTTTTATTAGGAAAAATGTTAAAAGTTAGTTTAAAAATGGTGAAGTGGAAGAAACTAGGCTACGTCATTCTACGACGTATGCTTGAATGTGTAATAACTTAAACACTGTATGACTCACAGGCGCCGAGCAGCATTTCGAGAGGACCTTGAGTCAGTAGGATCTAGCAACACTGCTCATCACATAGCCATTCACCAGTTTTAAATCACCTCCTTTTATTACACAATATTAATGAACCTCCCATTCTGGTTTAGTTAGTGTGTGAGAGATTATCCCATGGCTACTGAGTGTTTAAGTGTGTGGCAATAATCATATGCACTCATTTTATAAATTTTCCCTGTTACCTTTGTGCATAGACTCTGCATTCTTCATTCAATCAGCCTTTATGGTATGTTAAGTCATGCTGTCACAAGGCCATGAACTTACACTGACTTGTTTTTGTCACAGATGAGTATGAACCTGTCAACTCCTACACCTCCACTGCGACTGAAGCGAGTAGACTTTGAGGACTCTCACAACACCGATACCTTCAAATGCAAGCGCCGCAGGCTCAGCCAGCCTCCTTCCCCGGGTCTCACGCCTTGTCTTCACCCCCTGTCCCAGAGCCTTGAGCAGCCGGGGTCAGAGAAGCACCACGTCTCGCGTATCGGAGCCTACATCCTGCTGCAAGCCGCAGAAGGAGCTCAGACGTTCAGAGCGGTTCATCAGGTCACTGAACAGGAGTACACATGCAAGGTGAGCATAGATGCTTCATAATAGTGGATTTGAAATATCTTCTATTAATAAAAGTTATGGAACTTTAGGATCATTAATCATCTTGTTTTGGTATGTTACCACCAGGTGTTTTCCATTAAGAAGTATCACGAGTTCATAGCACCCTATACACGTCTGCTTCCACACAGTAACATCTGCAAGATTTCAGAGGTGGTGCTCGGGGAGAACAACTTGTACATATTCTTTGAGCGTAACTATGGAGACATGCACTCGTACGTGCGCACCTGCAAGAGGCTGCAGGAGGATGAAGCAGTGCGCCTGTTCGGCCAGATGGCAGCTGCGGTTGCGCACTGTCACGAGAATGGCGTCATTTTAAGAGACCTTAAACTGCGCAAGTTTGTGTTTACCGATCCACAGAGGTCAGTAACTCAATTTTATTCTTTAATTACTAGTTAGTCAAGTCAAATCTGCACTTGATTTTTAGTTATCGGCAAATATAACTAAAAATGTTGTTTTTTTTCTAGAATGCACAATAATTAATTGTGCATGCTAATTTCCCCTATTTTTAACATTTCGATTACCTTTGTTGTCATCTAATGCAAACTTGATGTTTATTTTTAAAAGCACTAATAATTTAAGCCTCAAAATGAAAATCCATTTTTACACTGTACATTATATTGTTGTAAGATTATTTTTAAAAAAATTGTATTTTTTATAGTTGCTGTTAAATTTAAATATATAGTATTGAGAAATAAACGGATGTTAATAAAGAAAAGTTTTTTTTATATTAACTATTAACTACTATATAATGTATAAAATAATTATAGATTAATATAAAATGTAGTTATATATAACTATATTAAAATATAATATTCTAATAAAAATATTCAAGTGTTATGTACATCATTCCTTAAAAAAAAAGTAAAAATTTGGAAGTGCATACAATGTTATATTTACACTAATTACAGCCTGTATGAATTGCATAAGTGTTACCTTATCTTGCTCATCTAGCAAATATTTTCCATTTATAAACGTAGAACCTAGTTATCAGGTGGCTGATAGATGTTCTTTTGTTTCCTCAGAACAAAGCTGGTCTTGCAAAACCTGGAGGACTCCTGTCTTCTTAACGGGAATGATGATTCGCTGAAGGACAAACATGGCTGCCCGGCCTATGTCGGCCCGGAGATCTTAAACTCACAGCACTCGTACTCCGGGAAGGCTGCCGACGTATGGAGCCTTGGCGTTGTTTTCTACACCATGCTAGTAGGACGTTATCCATTTCAGGACGTGGAACCCACAGCACTGTTCAGCAAAATTCGCAGGGGTGCGTTCACCATCCCAGAGACTCTTTCACCCAGGGCTAAGTCGCTGGTGTGTTGCATGCTGAGGAAATCTCCCTCGGAGAGGCTCGAGGCTGGAGATATACTCCTCCACCCATGGTTCCACTGTAACAACAACGTATCCCTCAACCAGCACTCCAGCACCAGACACTCGACAGATCAGGTGGTGCCTGATTTTGAACCAAATGATAATGGAGATTGTTAATGAGCCTTCTTCATTCTGTTTACCCACAATCAGGGGATTGGATTCTATGGAGAAAGACAGATTGTCTCATAAGGTATGCAGAGTTCAAGGGCATCAAATGGAAGAGATTCCAGAAACTATAGCAGGTTAATAGCAGTGCTGTTTTTTTACCCAGTGAGGTGTTCAGGACAGGCAAGAGACTGACCGTGTAGTCTTTACAAGCAGAAGTAACTGTGTTTCTTACCTCTGAAAATATCCATTTGTGGTTATCTCTCCAAGAGAACGACACTCGGGAGGGCAAAAAATGCTGCTTTCCTAGCAGACGTTTGCTCACGGCACAGCTTCGGTCCTGAAAGAATATCATGAGGCTGCTGCACACAATTTTAACATCAGTATTGTCTAATCAGTGCATGGATTTCCCATTGTACACCCATGTTGTGTAAATTAAAGAACCTCTAACTTAATTCCTGGTATACTTGATGCACACTTCGTGCCTTTATGTACTGTTTACATATTTTTGCAGTGGAAAATACAGATTTGACTATTTAAAGTGCCTTTTTTTCCAGTAAAACAGCCAATGTTGTTGTTGGACTTGTTAAAGTACCAAAGATTTGAGTTCCCCCCCACCAGTCCAAGCGTGTGTATCTGCAGCGGGTCAGCACAAGTGCTCATATTTCCTTTTCATGTGAAGAATTCAAAAGGATTCTCTGTTTTCTGCGATTCTCTTTTGTAAAAGTCTTTCCATCTGTTAAACTATGTATTTGTGCTGCAGAGCAGGTTTACCCCTGAAGGGATGTGGGGCACATCATGCGCTACAGGAAACGTCCATATAATGGTTTAGAGGTGTGCCTGTTGAGTGAAACAAAGGCTTTACATACGTTATCGTTTGTGATGCCTGCATGCAATGCTTTGACCCTTTGTTCGTTAAAGTACTTGTCCTTTTGTAGATATCTTTTTGTTACTAGTGAGAAGTGGACACTACATTTGTTGTTGTTTCAAGGGGTGATGTACCTACAAACAAGTATTTTGTTGTTGCCAGTACAAATAAAATGAAAAATCAAGACTCCATTGTTGCTTATTAATGATTCATTATCAGATGTGACCTGCTTAATAATATTAAAATATTCGCATTCAGCACAAAAATCTCACAACAGCAGTACGTATTAATCCCAGCAAGGTTTTTCTGAAGTAAAAATCGCAATCAGTACACATTAAATCAGTAGATATTTATTTGACACAGCATTTTGAAAATAACAAATATGCTCTTTAAAAGGATATTCATAAAAATATGTTAAGCTGCCAAGAAGGAAATGTTAATGTATCATTAATGCATAAATCTGCATCCAATGGTGCTCATCCTTGTTTTTGTAGGACTATTACTCCAAAAATATTTGTAGAAATAATCTATGAAATTAACACCAAAAGTGATCTTACATTTCTCTGCTCATATCCTTTTCTTATACTGGCGCAATTCTGTAATACATAAAAGTGCTCGAAATTACAAACATAGATAGGTCAGAATCAAATCTAAAATGGAAAAGAAATGAAGTAAGATTGCGACTTCACATATGGCCAGATCTTCAAGAGGCCCTCCAACACATAACAGTGGACAATATGATCTATAGCGGTCATCATGAGTAAGTGTAATTCAAGCCAGAGTAGAAAGACTAAGCAACAGCACTCAATCTGATCAAATTCTTTCAATATCAAGCTATACAATGTCAAATGGGACAATAAAGTTCAGTAACAGCCACTGACACCCAATCAAAGTTTATGGATATCAATATCCTTCCACAGAACCATGTTAGATCTACAGCTATAAACACATCAGCAAAGAATATAAAGAGTAATTTTAGTCAAATGTGTTGTCAGACAATGGAAAACAAGTCACCACAAACAGGTCTTCATGGAAGAAAGCCGAAGTACACCTCACAAATGTTACAAAATTCAAATTAGAAACAGTAACAACAAATAAAAGCTTTAGAAAAACTAAACTTTACAGACCCATCGTGGTTTTCCTTTCACATTTTTATTAGCATTGGGGGCGCAACTAAAAAGGGAAGTTGACTTGTAGGTCAAGACACCAATAAATCTACTAGGTGAAGTTTACGCTGATATCTATTTAAATATAATTTTTCCTGAGGCAAGAAAGTTGCAGGAACATGTATTAAGTCCTACAAAACAAAATTACACTCATCTATTAACTTCTATTATAATCATTAGAGAAAAAAAAAAGGGAAAATGTGATGCTGATATAATAACAAAAATATGAGTTATGAGCATGTGTAGGCCTAACAAATATGGAAACTCAAATTTAAATGTTAACTATGACATCTCAAAAAGGTCAAGCAGTAAAAGAAACAGTCAAAAATGACCAGAGACAGGTGACAAAGATGTTGAAGGATGCCACCTAGTGGAAATACTACTGTGAAGTTCATGGAGCCATAAAAACGAGTGGAAATAATGAACATGAATTCATAATGAGGTTTGGGTAACTTGCACTCGGGTACAACAAAAAATGACCTCTTTGGAAATGAAAAAATTAAATATATAGATAAGAATATGACCATAAAAATATCACAATACATTATCACAGAGGAAAATTTAAATAATGCAATGGAAAGTACGCAGAAAAGTAAAGGAAAATGTTAAAGTGCAATGAATAGCACTTGAACATCTCTGGATTACAACACCTCTCCATTTCTAAGAAATGACCAACAGTATATAAAATGAACACACAAGAAACAGAAAAGGATAACAGGCATTAACACTCAGGCAAGAGATGCTGGCTTCAGATGACAGGGACGAGGGCTTCATCAGGCACACAGTGCACCATACCTGTGGAAAGAGCCATCAATCCATCACTGACTTCAATGACACCAGCCACTGCTTGTCAGGCTAGTAATATCAGAGTAATTGTAAGCAGTTACACTGCAATGATACTTCTGGCTGACTGTTGGCCCTCCACTAGCAAATACACTGGAACCACATGATTTATTTGCAGTCATTTTTCTGTCACATCTGAATGACGATAAAGCAATGCAGCACTTTCTGGAGAAGTGTTAACAATTAACAACGGTGCAGTCTGCATAGTTCCTCACCTCTCTTCATCCATGTTGCCCTCTTCCTCTTCCTCATAGCTGCCCTCATCCAACTCCAGATCCAATTCAGTGCCGATGCCAAAGTCTCGTGGAGCCATGAAAAGACTAAAGGACCACAAATACAAAAAGTCAGAGCTCACTTGAATTTTTTTCTTTTTTTTCCAAGTTGGACCTGCTGATTTTTTATAAGATATTTCATAATAATAATAATAATATTAATAATAATAGTGTAAAATATATTGTATATATAGACCAGGGATGGGCAACTTTGATAGTGACTAGGGCCAGCATTTTTTCTCCTTTATACCAAGGGGCCAGATTACTAATCCACGTCCACACACCTTTTACACCGTCTTACTCAATTTCCACCATAAAATAACCTGGTATCTGCAGGATTTTTAAAATCAAATTTAAGACCTTTAAAGACCTTTTTAAGATCTGCACTTCACATTTCAGCCTTTGAACAATTATTAAGAAAGGGATGAGTCAAAAGTATCAATTATTATATTAATTTAAACAATTATTATCAATTAATTATTATATTAAATAACATATAAATATATCTTAGTGTCTTAATTGTTTAGATTTTTATAATGCATTAGTTTTTTGTCGATCCACTGGTTCACATTTAAAAATATGTAGCAAAAATAGCAGATGGGCTTATTGAAAAAGCAAATTCGTTCTCTGCCAGCAGGTTTCTCTTTCGAAACTGCGCATCTAGTGGTTTCCCCGGTAACCGCAGTACACGCCTGACGTGCAGCGCTCAAGTTTATTCAGTGAAATCGTAGCCTTTTGAAGTTTAATCGTCATATTAATCCATATAGAAATTCTTGTCTTTCCGTCCCCAAAGACCTCTTATAATTTAGACTTTTTGTACCATTTAAGAGTTTGCATGGCCTTAAATGTAAACAATTTAACTGAAGACGTTTTAAGGACCCGCGGAAACGCTAATAAGAACATAGTCCAGTGCAAACATTTCTGTCTGCATTTGGCAAAAAGCTTTTGTTGACTATGAATTTTACTTTTGAAATTTGAGGCAAGTGCAATCATCCGAGTCTAATATGATCCAGCGGGCCGTACTAAAAGACACTGCGGGCCGTATACGGGCCGCCAGTTGCCCATCCCTGAACTAAACGCTCAATGTAGCGTGCCGAACCGTGCGCGAACGACAGTGCACCATGGAGCAGAAATCAGATTTTATTTATCACGTGAGGAGAGTGAGTCGAGCTGACGGACAAGCCTGGTTGGAGATAGTATTAACATCATAAACTGAAAGCAATCTTTACGTGACTTGCTTTTCAAATGTTAATTAATTGATCATCCGAGTCTAATATGATCCAGCGGGCCGTACTAAAAGACACTGCGGGCCGTATACGGGCCGCCAGTTGCCCATCCCTGATATAGACTACCATTCAAAAGGCCAGTTAGATTTTTTACTTCTTCTTTTTTTTTTTTTTTAAAGAAGTCTGTTATGTTCAATAAGGCAGCATTTATTTGATTGAAAACACAGTAATAAAAAAGTAATACTATTAAATATCACAAAAATATAAAATAACAGTGTAAAAATATTATGATCCTTCAAAATCATCCTAATATGATGATTTGGTGCTGAAGAAACATTTCTTATTATTAATGCTCCTCAGTATTTTCATGGAACCCATGATAGGTTTTTTTCAGGATTCTTTGATAAAGAGAAAGTTCAAAAGAACAGCATTTACTTGAAACAGACATCTTTTGTACATTATAAACATCTTTACTGTCACTTTTGATCAATTTAATGCATCCTTGCTGAATAAAAGTATTCTTCCACCCAAACATAACATAACAACAAGCAATCTATAATAAAGTCATTATCTCTATCATTAAAAAGATTTCTTATGTTTTTTCTTTTTTATATGTTGATGTTAAATTGCTTTCTCCCTGACATACAGATCCTCACCTGACAGAACGGCATGTAAAGAACACAATCCTCTTCAGTCTTTTGTTATAAAAGAAGTAGTTGAAGGACCACAGGTTGCCTTCTTCCCCATAAGGGTCTGAATCCAGGTCTGGATTGTAGCTGTCACAGAATGCAATCAGAACTTTTTTAAAGCATGCTTAATAAATTTAGTGCAGCTGTATTATTCAAACAAACACTATTCAAAATCAAACGCATTCAGCAAATTCTAGGCAAACCTGACTGAACATGGGTTTGAAAGAAGAATATCTACCTGTATATGTCACATTCAGCAAGACTGATCTCCTTGTCTAGGGCCTCCCATAACTGAGGCTGTAGGTGACTGTAGGCCTCACCAGCAGCAGCAGACAAACTGCTGTTCACTGCATTAAACACCTGTGGAAATCATGAACCATTTAATAAACCTCGGTTTTATAACAGTTTTAAATAGCTTTATAATGTCCGTCCACATTTTCACAAACACAATTATCATTATTTATTCTTCTGTCCACTCTCCAAAACACTTATCCTCTGTAGGTTCGCATGTATTATTATTATTATTATTAAGAAGAAGAATATGAACTGTTCGAATAGTTTTATATTGGAATATTAAATAAATGTATTATTTATAAATATTATAATTGCAATAATACATCCAAACCACTTATCCTCTGTAGGGTCCCAGATATTCTTATTATTAATAATAAGAATAAGCATAATTTATTTACATTTTTACTGTCAATTTCTAGTTAACATTGTGTTAAAGTAGTGCATATGTTGTTTCAGAAATTGTAAACATTTTATGTCAAAATTACCCAATTAACACTGGGCTCCTTGCTGAAATCGTGGCCTTTGGTGCGACTGAAGTCGTAGTCCGGCCGGAAGGATTCATTGAGAGTGGCGATCAGGTAAAAGAGCGTCTTTCTGCTGCACTTGTCAGAGAGCGGACCCTCCCCATCATCCAAACTCTGACTCAGTCTGAAAATTAAACATATTTCAGTGAATGTGCAATGACCTGCTGGAAGATATTTGTACTGTGTTTATGTGAGGGGGTTGGTGACAGTGAAATGCTTATCAGTACCTCAAGAAAACTCTTTGACTTACTTGTTGGGGCTGATTCCTGAGCTCTGCGGAGGAGACAGAGCCTCCAGCACGTGCGGCTGCCCTTCCTGACAAAACTGCTTAAACATTTGCTTGTCATCACCTGCCATCTTACAGGAGTAGCTCTCAATACTAGAGAAACATCACAACAGTGCCAGTAGTCACATTGAGGAAAAAAACTGCTAATAACACCTGAACAGTGTGAATGACATGTTCTTTCCTCTTTATGGGATCTGATAGTGTTCAGATATGAAAATGTTTTTTTCAAAGGATGCGGTCTTAATTTTAACTTATGAAAACAAGCATTGAGCACTTACCGTCCAATTATCTTACAGTCTCCCGTTTCAATTGTGAGCAGTCTATTTATGGCCTCAAAACTTGAGTTTTCCAGGAGCTTCATGGTTTATTCAACTTTATTATATATATATATATATATATATATATATATATTGACAGAACTGCAAGGACTCTTTACCGGCACTAGATGTCAGTCTCTTTGATAAACAACAATCGGCCAGTTATTCTGCCGTTACACCAAACCAAAACAATGTTTAGCACGTTAGTTTGGAGAATAAACGGCACAAACAGAAAAGTATAAATAATAAACAACTAGTCAATACTGGGTTATAACCGAATAACCACTAACCTCGATGTCTCCTACAGAAGCCCCTTTAAAAATCTCTCAATTTCGAGAACAAACGGCTCTCTATTACCTTCAAATGTAAAAATAAAAATAAAAAATAGATAAAAATAAGCCTCCCTTGCAGATTCTTACGACCGCGTGAATAATCTTCAACGGTTGCTTAATTCACTTCTATGTCTAATAAATATATCTTCCTTTTTACTGTGAAATTTCCAATACTTGCCATTAAACAAGCTAAAATTTAGAGGGAAATTATGCATCCCAGCTATTGAATCAGAACTTGAGGAGAATTCCAAGGCTTATAAAAGCCTTAATCCTCGGTTTATGGTTGTCTATTTGTCTGGAAGAATGACAACAGCAGAGGACGAACGTTTGTGTTGCAGTTTTCACGATTTTTCACGAGTTTTCGCGATAATACGCAGTTGCCTTTTTCCTGTTTTTTTCGGTCAGGATGTCATAGTAATGCAAGTGTTACATGTTTACCGCCACCTGCTGGCTTGGGGCTTAATAGCGATTCTCTTTTTCTCAGAATCGAAGAAATACATAATACACATTCTGAGGCTTCCAATGACAAACCAACGGCAAAGTATCAAAACCAAGGTAAAATAAAATATTTATCAGAAGCTATTTAACAGACTATTACTATACTTTTGCATTTCTGAATTTCAGTACCTCAAAAGTATTGTGAAGCATACAAATGCTTTTTGTACTGTTCTCATATTGTGGACATAAACCTGGGGATAAAAATAGTTAATATATTTAAACACACAAAATAAAACAGTAAAATATATTATGTGGCCTGCAACACTAAAAAATATTAAAAAGTACAATGCATAGCAAAGCTTGGTAAACCATGTTAAAAACGGAAACTAATATTTTCTCATAAAGACATTTTATTTACGAAGATGATTTTGAAGAGGTGCAACAAGTGCAGGCAGCGCCGCAGCACAAACATTTTCACATTACATACCCTCAATGCATGAGGCCACTTAGTTAAGGTGAATAAAAACAAAGATGAGAAGACACGGGTGGGCAGGACATTTCCAAAGAAAACACAAAACATACAGGTAAGCAAAGCTGAAGTATTGTCCCTGAGAGCACTGCTTCATATTTAAGTGTTTCCTTCAGAAGTCTGAGAAGGAACTTCCCTGCTCAAATTATTTGATATAAATTTCTCAAGCTGAAAAGGTGTAGATGGTCCCCAAGGGAATTTCTTTTAGCATAAAATTTGTGACAGAAATTATGCAGAAATTAAAAAGGAAAACCATGCCCTTCAGCTATCTGCCAGACCGTTAAACCATAATACCATAAACTATTTTGTCTATACTAAATCAAAGGTGAGCAAAATGACCTATTAAAACAATGTTGATAATGACGGCAAAATAACATTTAATGGATCATAAATACACGTGACTCAAAATGAAGACTAAGAAAGGTGTGGCCTTGATGTGCCTCTCTAATAAAAAGCAATTTTTCAGCATACACAGTACACAACTGAAAACTTCCTGTCTCTGTAATACATGAGTGATAGTGATATAACACAACTTCCAACACAATCATTATACCTGAGGCTGTCTTATAATGGCTTGTTAACACCTGCAACAGCTAAATAAGATTTTTCCCTTTTTTGACAGCTTTAAGTCGTCAACTAAAATAAAACAAGAGGACAAAACCTGGACACCACAACTGGTGTTTCTCAAGCACTATTTGAGAAAGAAATCATATTTACATCGACATGAAAAAAAAAAAATGTAAAAAGGAACATTAAAACAGATCTATTAGAGTTTGAAAATATACGCCTTAATTTAAAATGCTGTGGGTTAAATGATGTCACAGTCCTTTCAAATTCATAGTGGCAGTGTTTTTGTAAGTAAAGGGATGACGTCACTCATGTCTAACTGTCAATCATCTCTGAGAGTTCTAAAAGAAGGTCGTCCTCTCCCTTGCCCGAATCCAATTCCAAGTCATCCTCAAGCCGGTCATCAGTAAATTCACCTAACAGTTCTTCAAAGTCATCCACTGTTGAACTGGTAACAGCAGGAGTATGACCAGAAGTGGTGCTGGACCGCCGAGAGCGCTGCATGCTGGGTGTTTTGATCACAGGGCTACAAAGGAACATAACAGAAGATAGAAAATAAAAATTCCAAAAAGTAATTGTGTGTGTGTATATAAGTATTATGTCTGAAATACATAAGAAGATTTCCCATACCTTTGGGGGACCGCAACAATTTCAGGTGATGTAGTACTGGCTGGCTCAACGCAGCTCATAGGCACCATTTGAATATCCTCTTTGTTGGAAGGCACCCGCTGAGTGTCGGACTGAACATCTTGAGAGGCTGGTGACGCGACCTGAAAGAGTATTAAAAAAATAAATAAATAATCAAACTGTATTCTATTTGTTTTCTAATACAGTGACACACCAGACTTGCCTAAAAAAAGAATACATTTATTTTAAAAATAATTAACTAAATTAACTCTCACCTTAAGGCGCTTGTTGGGAATAACCAGCGAGGAAGGTGTTTGACAGGCAGTGTTAAGAGGTTTCACTTCAGCAACAGCAGAACGAATTTTTGCAGCTTTCCTCTTTTGGGTAGGCTGGGCTGCTGGCTTCACATTCACCTTGGGCTTCACTGAAATGCAGAGAAAAACAGCAAACTGAGTAGGACATTTGGAAGATAGTTAATTTTAGTTTATACATACATAAATTTCAGATTATATTTTATTAGTACTAGGCATGGGCCGGTATGAGATTTTGACGGTATGATAACCTTAAGCAAAAATATCACGGTGTCACGGTATTGACGTTACAGCTCTAAAATGTGTTATTTTTAAATGACTGGGTAAAAAAAAAAATATATATATTTCCGCTGAACACAATATATTTTGTTTTTGAGCAATATACAGAATATTAGGAACAGTAGAATTTGTTTATTTTTTCTTTGATTTATTTCCTAAAAAGAAGAAAAATAAAGACTGACATCTTTATTTAACCTAAATCTGTAATTACAGTTATTTAATTGTAGTTATATAATTCATATACATTTCATTTATATAATTTCATATAATTTATATAATTTCATATACATAATTTGATTTAATAATAACCCAATTTGAAGCAAAAACAGAATGTTCTGACTAGCTTTGTGAAATTATACTACATGCCTGAACGAAACAAACAGCAGAAGCTCTGAATGAGACGCAGATTC